CTTGATCCAACAAGGTGACACTAAGACATGTGAACACATCATTGGTAGCCTCATTGCAGCCTTTGAGTAGGGATGGCACGACTGAAACTAGGGAGAGATGGATCACGTTGATGGAATCCTCAAGGAGCTCCAGGCAGTCCTCATATGCCGAATGTACGTGCTGATCCTTTTGGACCTTGGAGATGATATTGGAGGAATAGAGGAGGCTGATGCGAATGTGAAAAAGGATTGAGGCTTGGAGAGAGGCCAGAGGTAGAGCTCTATTTTTTTTCATTTTTCTCGTCCAGATTTCTTCGTGTTCTCTCAGCCTCCTTCTCGATTTTCTCCCCTGTTTCTCGTCCATCTTTCTTCGTGTTCTCTCGATCTCCTTCTCATTTTTTCTCTTCTTCTTTCTCTTCCTTTTTTTTTTGCTCCTTCTTCATGCTCTGTTCAAGCTTCTCCCATTTCCTCAGTTCTCTCTCTTTCTCTCCGTCTTGGATCCATCTCTTATGCTCTGTTTTTCCTCTTTTTCAGTCTCTCTCTCATCTCTCACTCTTTGTCTCCTTCTCATTCTCCAACCTCTCTCGGACTCTCTCCTCTGCCTCTGTTCTTCTTTTTCAATCTCTCTCTCCTCTCCACCTTTTTTACTATTTCTCCTGCTCTTTATCATTAAAGCTCGAGATTTTCTTCTTGTGTGCACGTTGCATTTCTACTCTGCTTTTGCTTTTTTTTTCTACATTCTGTATCACTGTATGAGTCTTCTTAGAGTTGCTTTATTTCTGTGTGTTTCACGTATGCATGCTCTCCAGTTTTTTGCTCGCGTGAATGTGTCTACTCTGCTTTTTGTTTTCTTGCGTGTTTCTGTGCTTTTCTCTGTGGTCTGTGCTTCATGCGTGCTTCTTTACTGCTGTTCTGTGTCTCTGTTTCTGCTATTCCTTGAGCTGTGATAAAATGCTGATTCTATCAGCGTTTTGTCCAGCTTATTCCTCTCTTCTTCTTTTTTATTAATAATTCTGATTAATACATACATACATAGATATACATACATACATAGATATATATATATATATATATATATGAAAATAAAATTTGAGGAGAGAAATTTAGAAATAGCTGAGTCTCAAAGAATTAATTCTCAATATTTTAAATGGTTGGGATAATTTAAGAGAGATTTTTAAAAGACTTAAGATTTTTTTTTGATTTTGTTAAAATTAGTTTTTCTTAAATATAATCCTAAAAAAGGATTAAATTTCATTTTGTATTTTTATATATATTTTTTGGTTATTTATTATTAAATTAAAAAAAATGTCTGGACAAAATACGATGTTCACAATTCTACTTTAGGTTGTTTCGCAACATAATCGTTTTAACGCCCACGATCTAATAATTTAAACAATGAAAAGGCAGTGCGATTAGAAATATGCGAGAGGAGCGCGTAGAGTTTTATATGAATACTTTTTAATAAGGGAACAATGTCATACAGGGGAACGTAATTTTTTTTCATTGTCTGTTATATTTTCCTGTATATTTTTTGATATCATTGCGTAATTTTTTTCATTTTTCAATTGTTTTGGAAATAGGCGTGCAATAACCATTTTTCAATCCAAAAGTCAAGCCTTTTATGCCCTGTGTCAATGGCTAGTGATATGATGAATTATAAGTGTATGATCAGTGAAAATTGTGGTTTTATTCTTGTAAACTATATAAAAACATTACAACTGAAACAAACTTCTTTTAAATTGATTGGGAATTTAATACAAACTTTTCATAATTCTTCTATAATGAAATATCAAATTTTACATATACTCTCTCGAATTCTTATTACAAGCCTACTTTTAAGGGGAGGAGAAGAATACCATTTAAATATTTAAAAACAATATGCTGACTTAAAGGCACATTTTCTTAGCCAGTGGCCTAGTAATCTAATGGCATGGAAATTTCCCTATAAGTGAGAGGTTGCGGGTTTGATCTCGCTTGTAACCGTAAATCATTAGTGCTTATCCCTTTAATTGAGAGAGAGAGAGAGAGAGAGAGAGAGAGACACACACACACACACTCTTCCTTATACTTAACGAGAAAGAGGTGAGGAAATCTAGGAGTCAAACTTTCAGGGTTGGGGAGAGGTCAGGAAAAATACCATTAATTGGTGAAGGGACATTTATGTCACAACCTTTAAGCCTCATTTGGTATGAAGAAATGATTTTTGATGGAATGGGAATACAAATAGTACCTTAACAACTTTGCCTTTTATATAAAAAAGATCTTTTAATTTGTTAAAAAAAAATCATGACAAGATGGAGCCTCATCTCTGACCAAAAAGGAAGACTTGATTTTCATTCCCCTAGTAGCACAATTACATTCCCAACTTCAAGAGTAATCCATTGTCTCTTTCGATGATGTGACAAGATTAATCACCATCTTTATCCATTGAGTTCCTTATCTCCAGCATGCAGTCCAACTCCATAGGATCCATCACATGCCTATAGTTTGTTCCTTGGTGCACAATCAAAGTTCTTCTCCTCCCACTTGCTACAAAGTGATCTGCAAGTTTGAAGCAGCAGAGAGAAGGAAGAAGAAACAATGATGGTGGTAGTGAAGCTAGAGGGGCAGTGATGAGTCGAACAGTAACTTCGACCAGCGATAGTGATAGAGTTGGAGAGATGAAGGTAAAGCTGGAGTGGCAGCGACCAACTAGGCAGTGACTTTGACTAACGATCAATGATTATCAACAATGACAAACACATACTTCCCAAGTGCAAGATAGAGGAGAGAAGTCAAACTTAAATTGGTTTGTTGAATAAGAGATGAGAACCCAAACTAATGGTAAGATTGTCTGAAAATTCTATAATCAAGAATAATTTGGTCATCTAAAAATTCATTCCCAAGGAATCGACTCATTCCTATGGTTTATTAATGGGATAAGGATTACCTCAAATAAGGTAATGGGCCATTCCATTTGAATGAACTCTCCCATGCACCAAATATGGCTATAGGCTATTTTTACTCTTATTCCCGTTCCATTACCCCATGTTTTACTGTACCAAACATGGCCTTACAGTTGTCAATCAATCCTTTTGGTCTGAAGTGAAAGGGCAAAGCATGTGGCACGACATCAAAGCTCTTGCTAGAGAAAGAGAAGATAATTGAGAAGACTAAGGCCAACTTAGGGAGGGTTGTCATATAGTTTGTGTAATAGTTTGTTAGGTTGTCAATATTAAGTAGTTTGATAAGATATTTTGGCCACTGTGTTAACATTTTTTCCCTATTATTTTGTTACACTAATAGTGATATAAATCATATACTAGGTGTTCATGTATTTCACCTATTTTTCTTTGTTGAATGGATGATCAAAATCAACAGGAAACTTAATAAAATTGCACACTTGGTTTAATTGCTAGTATTACTTCAACAAGCATCTCTATATTCATTTTTGTTCTATTGCCAATATTCATTCTAGTTAAATTGCCTCAGTTTAAATTAATATTCCATTTTTTCTCATTATGCCAACATTTAGAAGGGCACGAATTTAGCATCATAATAAGGGACAAATTCAACTATAATTTTAGCCACATTGTAAATTGAAATTGAATGACTTCATGAGAAGGGACAAATTTAGCATCATGATAGAGGATAAATTTAACCATTACAAATTTCCATGTTATACACAAGAACCATATCAATTTACACAACCCTTCTTGTAACAAAACAAAAGGAATATTTGTGATAATAACAATATTGTCATTGCCAACCCACCCCTTGTGAAGTTTAACGTCAACATTAGGCATCAATTAAAGAGATTAGGAAGCAAATAATTTCAAATCATGTTACACGGTGATACCTTGGACGCCTATGAAATCTTCTCCTTGGGTTAACACCCTTCCATGTTGTCCATTTTGAAGCAACCAAGCCCAAGTGGCAAAGCCTCACTGGAATTTCATCTTCTTCCTTATGCCGAGTTCATTTGATGCACTTCACCCTCCTTCTGCTGCTTTCGGGGGTCAACGATGAAGACCATGCCATTGGGTTGTGATGTAAGAGTGAAGATGATGAAGACGATGCTACGCCAAAGCCCTCGTTCTTCTATGATAAAATTGTGAATCAATTATGGTAGGTGGGAAATTTATTTCTTTTAATGGCCACGAGTAAATGCTATACCAAAACCCTCCACGAGTAAATGCTACACCAAAACCCTCCATATAAGTATAAGAATAATCAACATGACAGGTGACATGCCAATTAAGCATTTAACATATCAAATTAACCAATGTTAGAGGGAATAAATGAATTTATCACTTTTGCACCCAATAAAGTAGCGTTATTATCTCTTTTAATGTTATTAATGAAATTTTTATTTGAATACATTTTTTTAAAAATCAATTTGGTATACTGAATGTTGTTTGTATTATGATAATGAAATGTGCCTTTGAAAGTATAATTATTAAAACAAACATTGATTTATGCTAATTTGTAACTTTTATTATGTAAATGTAATATATTTAAAATATTTAAAAAATATGATAAAGATTTTAAATAATATAAAATTTGATCTGTAATGTTAACAAATTGATCTCTAATTATTTATACTTTTTTTAATTTATAATTTTAAAAAATGTGATAAAAATTTATAATTTTTATTATACATCAATGCTAAAAATTAATATAATTAATTATTTAATTTATAATGTTAAAAACTTAATATCTAATTATTATTATTTAAATGATAATTATATTTTTAATAAATTAATTATTTTTTAAATAAAAAAATAAGAGATTAAATTCAAAACATTATGGTCAAATAAAATTTTATTTTTTAAATTCACTTTTTAAAAGTAATAAAATAGAGTTTAAAAAAATACATTTAGTTTATCCTAATTCTTTTTTAAAAAGCACATTTAATCTTATTAAACTACACTTAAATAATTTTTCATACCTTGACACGTGAAAAGTGGAATATTCAAATGGTGCGTCAGACTATGCTAGAAAATGACTTGACTTGAGCATTTCGCTCAGGAGACAGCCTGGACAGGATTTGCTGGGCTTGAGCGTAACGATGCAGCCGTATGGACACTTGGACACCAAACATGCAGTCACTGCCACTACTCATGCTTTCGAACCTCTGACTGCCGCATGTTTTGCGTTTCATTCCAAATAAATTATAAGTAAGCTTCTTTTCATCGCCCCCTCCTGAATTTTGTGGCCCTCCCTCCCATGGAAACCCCTTTCGCCAGAAAAAAAAGTCATGCTTTTTGCTTATTTACAGGTTATAACCTCAAAACGTTTTCGACTACGTGTTTTACCTGCCACACATGGTTCGTGAGACGGGCGTGTTCTAACTCGTTTCAAAGTCGCTCCCCTTTTCAAGAACTTCAGAATTAAATGTTCGGAGACGCATGCATTCAAAGGGCGTCTCTGCTTTTGAGAGTTGAAAATTCCCACCTTGATATTCCCTTCCCAGTTCGACAGTATACTATATCGAAGTTCCTGAAGTGGGGCAGGGCAGCCTTGACCTCGAAAGCTTTTAAGCAGAATTTCCTATGAGCTTCCTTTGAAAGCGAGACACGTAATCTTTTTTCTTCCCCTCGAGATAGATTCTATGCTTTTCTAAGCAGGGTGAATAAATGCGCCTCCTTTTTTGTCCCAACTTTCTCTGCTACTGTTAATAAACTATTCTTTGACATATTCGATCATGCTTTGGTTTTTTTCCCCTGGCGGGTGTTTCACGACACAAATACGGGGAATATAATCAGGCCTATAATCTCTTATTCAAGTGTTTAGCATTCATCATGTGGCCATTGCGTTGGCAGGAATTGAGTTTGTGTTCCTTTCATTTGCCAACGGGGATCCAATAACCCTGCGTGTTATCACCTACTCCTAATAAAAGCAAAACAGTGAACATCGCCTTTTGGATATGGATGAGAGGGGTAACTTATTTTCGCCTGGAGATGGGAGGAGAATGCTAATTTTCAATTTCTTCAAGGATGCCAGGTATGATATAATAGTATTTATTTGGAAGTTCCATGCTTGAGAGCCTAAACCGGAATGACTTGCTATGTTTAAGACGTCTCTCGGCTGAAAATTTTCGTCTAGTATAGTTTCAACGTGCGGTGATAAAACCGTTCATAATTTCCTCGTACGCTTCCTTCTCACGTGATGCTGATTGCTGATTGCCTGAGTTATTAACAGTGGTTATATTTAGGTTAAGTTACTTAAGTGTTTAGTATTAGGTTGTCTAATGAGAATAGTTTGCATATAAAAGAAAATTTCAAATTACAATTATAGGTGCCCAGCGGGGAAACACACACACACACACACATGTATGTATTGTGTATATATATGATAGTCTTATAAATTGGACAGAGGACATCTGTATGCCTTGTTCTGTTTGAGTTCAATTCTATTTTCAGCTGGTGTTCATATCAAATGTGTTTCTCCTTCCACGATATACCTACATGTTTCTGATTTCACTGACCGCAGACTAGTTTTCAAATCTGACAATCTTGGTCGAGAAATATCGTCCATCGCATTGCCTGCAGCCCTGGCTTTGACAGCAGACCCTATTGCTTCACTGGTTGATACTGCATTTATTGGCCAAATAGGTATTTTCATGTCATTAGTTTATTTACTTGCGGCTTGATGAAAACACTTACTACTGTGAGGATAGTCCTTTGGAAAAAATAACATCCACAAACAGGATAAAGCTTATTTGATCCACTTGAAAATTGGAGAGGGAGTATCCATAATGATAAACACTGTCTTTTGGGTATGAAATTGAAGTTAATTCGTTCTCAAGTTTCTCAAAGACTTGGGTTATGTTGTCAAGCTAGATCTCCTATGTTTGTAAACTTTGTTGCGATGCACGTGGGATGAAATCTTCGTGTCCATGAAGGTCCTGTGGAGCTCGCTGCTGTAGGTGTTTCCATAGCATTATTCAACCAAGTATCAAGGATTGCGATATTCCCACTTGTCAGTGTCACGACTTCTTTTGTGGCTGAGGAAGATACTCTCGGTGGGGTGAGTTCTCATGTGGAAAATGATAACTTGGAAGAAGGTGCACCTATGGATGCTGAAACCAAAGAGTTTATACCACAAAAAGGTACCCTTCTCCCATTCTTTTGAATTAAATAGATAGAGCTGTTGAGTGTCATCCAGGTTTTCTGGGGTTCCACTTATTCTTTAGAATAACAATTTATTGCTCCATTGGGTTATGAGTGTAAGTTTTCAGCTTAGCATACTCACACCCTTTCCCTTTTCTTGGTCAGATACATGTGCAGATGTTCATGACTCAGATTTGGTTGGTGGCAGCTTTAATATAGTTAAAGCAGAGCATAAGAGAAGGAATATCCCTTCAGCTTCATCAGCTCTTGTTATTGGTGGCGTTCTTGGCATTATCCAAGCAATATTCCTCATTTCTGCTGCAAAACCTTTGATGAATTTCATGGGAGTAAAATCCGTAAGTACTTTTGGGGATAGTTAAATTATGTTTAACGTCACACTTCTTCATTTATTTTATTGTGTTCCTCTCGTACCAACATGGAATGATTGGTATGTAATACGGATTATTTGTACAGGACTCCCCTATGCTAAACCCAGCTCAGCAGTACCTGACATTGAGGTCCCTTGGTGCTCCTGCTGTGCTTCTTTCATTAGCTATGCAGGGAGTCTTTCGAGGATTTAAAGACACTAGAACTCCTTTATTTGCTACAGGTTTGCCTTAATATGCGATCACAATGCTAGTGTCACAATCTCTTGCTATCATTCGATTTTAATTAATTTTTCTGATGTAATCCAGTGGCTGGAGATCTTACCAACATAGCACTAGATCCTATATTCATGTTTGTATTCCGCCTGGGTGTCAGTGGTGCAGCAATTGCCCATGTTATATCTCAGTATGTTTCATTTAGTTTCTATCTTGCTAGTCATCTTTTTCTTTCCTTATTATTATTATTTTTTTATGGTCTTCTTTACTTATTGTTTAAATGTCTGCAAATGTAGGTACCTAATTTCAGTCATACTCCTGTGGAGATTGATTGGACAAGTTGATCTTATCCCTCCTTCCATGAAGCATCTACAGTTTGATCGATTTCTTAAAAACGGTCAGGGTTCATCTTGCTTGACCTAATGATTCATTCATTATTAATGCTTTTATCCATCGAGTTATGCCTGAACTTGTGGACTAGAGATATGGTGCTCAAGATTATTATAGAAATAAACAGTAGTTGAATAAATTATTTTCTTTTCCCCTTTTGGGTTCAGGTTGACAGTTTCCTTGGAGTTGGGTACTAAATTAATTAGAAATTTATTGTTGACGGAAATTTGTTGCTTTGTGTTTTGTTTTTGTAATTCAGGTTTTCTATTATTAATGAGAGTCATTGCTGTTACATTCTGTGTGACACTTTCTGCATCACTAGCTGCACGGCAAGGGTCAACATCCATGGCTGCATTTCAAGTCTGCTTGCAGGTTTGGTTGTCAACATCTCTTCTTGCTGATGGTCTGGCCGTTGCTGGGCAGGTTTGTTATGATTAACTTAACTTTTGAACTCCATCATTTCAAAGTATTCCTTAAAATATCTGGTTCATCTTGTTTGACAACACTTGTGCTAACATGTCGTAGAACCATGGAAAGCGTTAAACTTTCAAACGCATTAAAATATTAAAATCATCTGTGCGGTGGAATTAGGTCATATAGCTCCATTTCAGAAATCCTAGGGAATATACTTTGAATATAGGAACACTGAACAATGAATGGTCAAATAAGTAATGTGAGTTAATGCGTTTGAACATGATTAACTATCTGTTGGTTCATTTTCCTAAATTGAAATTATTTCTTACTAGGACTTCTTACATCTTGAACTGTGATTCTCCCTTAGTTCTTTATCTTATCTTGGGATGCATTCACCCCTCAGTTATCTGGTATTATGTCCTTCATCATGAGCTCCACAGTAGGTCCACTAATTGCATACACTTGAAAGTTTGATTGATTATCTAGACCTATCTCACTATAGAAACTAGTAAAAAAGAACGAAATAACAAAATAGAAGCCAAGAGAATATTATGCATGATATAGAAAGATGCTTCATTTCACTATTAAGCTGTTCTTGTTTAACAAATCTGTAATGTTAGTTGGGTTTCAGGCAATCCTTGCTGGTGCATTTGCTAATAAGGATCACGACAGGGCTATAGCAACTGCAACCCGAGTGCTACAGGTGATTTACAATGAATATTTAATACAATTGATGTAGAACAGGGGAAGGAAGATGGAGGGGAAAGAAGAAAGGAGAGAATGGCTGAAATTAATTCTCTAAATATCAAAACAATGAAGTCTGCCAACATAGAATAACCTAGGGCTATATTTTTCCCCACATTTCCTCCAAGGCAAAGTTGGTTGATGTAAAGAACAATTACCCTGCAGATGGGCTTGGTTCTGGGATTGGGGCTTGCAATTTTCCTCGGAACAGGGCTGCATTTTGGAGCTAAACTATTTACGAAAGATATTAATGTCCTCCACCTTATCAGCATTGGAACTCCGGTACTTTATTTATGTTCAACTTGGATATTATATCGATCTGTATCTCTATAAAAATGGAGGAATTACAAATATATGAATTTCTCATCAGTTTGTTGTGGCCACTCAACCCATCAATTCTTTGGCGTTTGTATCTGATGGAGTTAACTTTGGGGCTTCTGACTTTGCCTATTCAGCCTTCTCAATGGTGGGCATTTTCTTCATTTCTTTCATGCCATAAAAATGAAGCAGTCTTATTTATATGCTACTCAAACAAGCAACCAAAAAAATGCTTTTGAACACTCTAGCAAGGAAATCTGCTGTCCCTATTCACTGCTTTTGCAGAGGATGTGTATTTTACTAGTAAAGTAACCAGGGAAGTATCCCTTAAAAATAGAAGTTGATTTATTCCGTTGCAATCTTCTTTGACTCTCAGGTTGTGGTGGCAATTGTCAGCATCGGTTTTCTACTCATGTTGTCCTCTGCTGGTGGCTTCATTGGTATCTGGGTTGCTTTGACCCTTTATATGAGTCTCAGGGCATTTGCTGGCTTCTTGAGGTAGTTATTCTCAAGGACTTTCTTTTTCTAATCTCTTCATTTTCTCTTCAAATTCTTCTTGTCTTTCCACTAAATTGGTCATCTTCAAGTTCAATATATTCAAGACCTATTATTGGTGCAGGATTGGAACGGGATCAGGGCCTTGGGGCTTCCTTAGGAGCTGAAGGTTCCATCATCACAGCTTGATACATGACCCCCTTGGGCACGAAAGTTTTCTGGGGTTGTGTAATGTATCAGGTGTATTCTTTTGAAGGAATCGTGCCATGTACACTGGAATAATCTGCTCATCCTGGAGAATATGTACAGAAATGACCCCAACTATGCCTTAGAGAGATTTATGAAATATATGATCAAGCTCATGAGGTTCAAGGTCGTTGATGTCACCGAGTCCGCACCTTATTTTTCCTTGGTACGAGGGATGTTGTTATGTTGAGTGTGAGACAGCGGGTCAAAGTATGTATCATGGGTCTGGGTTGTTCAATTCAAGGCGCAGTAACTACATTGGACCCAATTCTATACAAGTCCATATTAACATTAGGCAAACAGGTTACGGGTTAGTTCGTCGGGCTGGCATTTCTGTGGGTTAGATTGGGCCAGTCCACTAAATAAAATGGATTAAAAAATTTAACCTAATTCATTTTCTTGCGGGCTAGCTAACCCGCGAAAAATTATCAAAATTTTTCAATATATATTTATTTCATATTTTAAAGCAAATTAACAATTAAAAAATTTTTAAATAAATAAAATAAATATAAAATTCAACCAAGCAAATTTATCTTGCTAGATTTTTATTATCAATCATCTAGGTGTGTTATCTTTGTCACTGAGAAAGAAACTTTAAATATAAATTAATTATTTTTCTCAGTGAATTCATATTTATAATTTCAATCAATAAATCTTATGAGATTAATAAATAATATATATTCAAAATATTTCTATAAAAAATAAATTATAACAAAAAATTTATTTGTAAATTGTAAAAAGAATTTACACTATATTTCAAATGTAAAGAACATATTTGGGGTCATAAATTATATATTTAAGAAATATTATCATTATTATAGATTTGTAAAAAGATATAATATAATTTTAAAATAAAAAATTATTTTTTTAAAATATGCTAGCTTGCGGGCCAGCCCATTTTAGCCTGTTAATTTTACGAGTTGGGCTAACCCGGCTCGTTTTAAAAAATAGATCAATTTTTTCAACCCAATCAAGCAAATTGTGCGGGTTAAACAGGCTAGCTCGTAAGCTCAACCTGTTTTCCTGACTCTAATCCTTATCCCATAAATCATCCACAATCAATCCTTTGTTTTGGCCCCAAGAAAAAAAAAATTTGAATATTTATGATTAAAGTACTATCAATCAAATATATATATTTTTTTGAATGGGAAGTGATACAAAGAAACTAAAACAGATTACACCTATCAATCAAATAATTAGTAAAGTGTGGTAATCTTCTACATATTTAATTAAAATATTGAGGCACAAATAAATTTTTGCATGCCAAGGGTTTATATAACTACTACCGAATCTAAAAGTATGCAAAATTATACCCTAAAGAAACAAATTAGTAGAGAAATCATTTTCTCAAGACACACATAATTTATATTCTCGTTCTTAGCACTTATTAGACTAAATATGCTTAAATAAAAAACTATAAGAAAATTAAAAAGTAACATTATGAGTTATAAATGAAAAGAAATACTGTAATAACAATAACTATTACTATTAAATTTAATAATACTTACATTTAAATTAATAAATTAATAATACTAAATATTAAATAATTTTACTAAAAAACTTGACTTGACTTGAGTAAAAGGGCCAGGGGCAAAAGGAAGAGAAAAAAAGGGCAGAATAAAATACCTCAGTGACCTCACCCTTCTGTGTCCAGTCCGTTAAAAAACGTTGTCGTTTGACGGGGGCGAGCGCCTTGCTTTGCCGTCTCTCGCTAATCGTATAAAACATGTGTCGCACTCTCTTCGTGCTCCATCTTCAAATATAACCCCTCCGCCCATCGCCTTTTCGCTAAACGTGATCTTTGCCATTGCGGACATCCCGTTGAACCCTGGGATCTTGAGGTTCAAGGTACATTTCCTCAACTCAGGTTTTCTGCTACCATATAACAAGTGACATGGTCTTCGATAACTTGGGGAATTCTTTATTTTCTGTTTTCAGCTGGTCATTTCTTGATTGGGGGTTTAAGCTTTCGAACCGAATCGAACACCGTTGTCGTTATATTCAGGTACCGGATCTCTTGGGAAAGCTTAAAGGTTACATCTTTTCGCCATGTTGCGCTTTTTGGTTGCCGACGCATCAGAGAAATAATCGGCGCAGTTCTCTTCATTTCATGCACGCTCGGACTGAATCCCCATTCCGTTTTTCTTCATCCCAATTTCTTTTAGAATTCTGTGCGCTGATCTTGGCCCTTTCTTTGTGTGAAAACCGATGCTTCACCGACTTTTGGGCAAATTAGCCCCCCTTTTTTATGCTGTTGCATGTTCGAAATTGGAAGTGATCCATTCCTGCAGCAGAAATATTAGTAGTTCTTGTTTTCTTACCTTCATGTGGGCATGATTAATGAGATGGGTGCGGGTTAGTTCATGGTATTTGAGGCTAGTATTTTACTGAACCTTCTTTTTCCAATATTTGAAGCGCCCCGTCTATCGCGTTAAACAATGTCAAGTGAATTTCTTTAAGTTTGTTTCGTACTTAGGTGCTCTTATTAATGCCTTGATGTCTTTTCATCCCCATGTCATTTTCCATTTCGATTGGTTTATGTTATAAGTGACATACTCGCCCTAATGTGTTCAGGTTTTATGCATGCTTGGAGCTGAATCCACATTTATAGGTCAACATGGGATTTGATAACGAGTGCATAGTGAACATTCAATCCCTTGCTGGAGAATACTTCTGTCCTGTTTGTCGGCTTCTTGTATATCCAAATGAAGCGTTGCAATCTCAATGTACTCATTTATACTGCAAGCCATGCTTGACCTACATCGTGAGCACTACAAGGGCTTGCCCTTATGATGGATACCTAGTGACTGAAGTAGATTCCAAGGTTTTCCTTCTATGCTTTCCAAAGTGCTCCTCTGCGAACTAGCTTATTTGTTATACTTGTGCTTATGTATAACTCCTCATTACAGCCTCTTACAGAGTCAAATAATACACTTGCTGAAACTATTGGAAAGGTAGCAGTTCATTGTCTGTATCACAGGAGTGGATGCACGTGGCAAGGGTCTTTGTCTGAGTGTACATCTCACTGTTCTGGATGTCCTTTTGGCAATTCTCCTGTTGTTTGCAACAGGTGTGGGATCCAAATAGTGCATCGTCAAGTACAGGAACATGCACAAAACTGTCCCGTGAGTGCCATTTGTTAATCTTATTTATTGATAGTTGATTATAAAAATCCTGTTTTGCATTTATTTTTATTAGGGTTGATTTTTGGGCATTTTGATTACCAGGGTGTGCAAACTCAGGTGCAACAGTCAGAGGCTGCACAGAACCCTTCAGCCAGTGGTGCTGTTGCTTCTACTGATCCAACCCAGACTGCTGCTCAGGTTGGAGCAACGGCTTCTCAAGCTCTTACTTCTCAGACTGTGGCTGCAGCAAGTGCTCCTGGGCAGGATTTGAGTATGCTAGCCAACACAACTTCTCAGGCTCAACCCTCAGTTCCGACTGTCATGCAGCCAAATGCAGAGCAATGGTATCAACAGCAGCCATATCAACAGTACTACCAGCAATACTCTGGATATGACCCATATCAACAGCAGTATCAACATCAGTATCCCTATCAATCGACTGTGGTTCCACAGTACCAGCAGTACATGCAGGCTTATGGCCAGCCCCAACTTCAATCTCAAACACAGCCCCAGCCTCCATCTCAATCACAGCCCCAGCCTCAGGCTCTAACTCAAGCTCAGCCACAACCTCAACCACAGCCTCAATCACAGCCTCAGGCACAGGGATATTCTCAACCTGTTTCTCATGCACCTGTGGCGCTACAACCTCAGAACCAGATGCAAGTTAGCCAACAGCAGCAACTTCAGCTTACTGTACAGCAGCATAGTCAGATTCAGTCACTGGGGAACCCATCAGTCCATAGCCTCCCTCAGTCTCAGCCTTATCCATATCTTCAAAGTCAACCTAACACTTCTCAGCCTCAATCCCAACAACCTTTGCATATACCTCATTATCAGCAGCCTCATCCTCAGATGCAACAGTCACAGCCTCAAGTTCAACAGCCAGCTCAGAATTTTCCAATTTCTCAACCTCAAGCACATCAACATTTGCAGCCTCATGCTCCAGTTCAACATATTCCCCAGTCCCAGATGCATCCACAACAGCCCCACCTCCCCGGGACTCTTAATCTTCAGCCTCAAACGCAAAATACATCAGCACATGCAGTGACAGGTCATCACTCTTATCCTCAACTTCAGGCTCATCAGAATATGCAGATGGGAGCCCCTCAACGTCCTATGAATATGCATCCTCAAGGTGGGCCTTTACCCCATTCTCAGCAGCATGGCCAGATGCAGAATCAGTTTCCTCAGCAATTTCCAATGATGCGTCCCCATCAATCTCATGCTATCTTTCCAAACCAGCAACTGCCTGCTATGTTTCCTGCACCTGTTCAGGGCCAAAATGTTCCCCCTCAACAGCAACAACTTTATGGTCCTGGTCAACAACCTGCCCAAGCCAACCATCGTCCTGTTACACAGGCAGCTCAACAGCCATTGCCTCCACAGTCTTTTGTACAACAGTCAATGCCATCTCATCTACGTCCCCAAGGTCCACCTCCTGCATTTCCTGAACATGCTCAAACTTACCAACAGCAACTTACAAATGTTGCATTATCACATATTCCTCAGTCCAGTCAGTCTCTAAATGCTGGGGGAAGGCCTTTGATGCCCAATCATAAAATGCCACCACAAACATTTGCTCAAACTGCTAATGCCTCCCTTGTTAGGCCAATGCATGCTGGTGCTAGCCATTTGCATGGAAATCAGAATACGATGGTTGGGCCCAATAATCAAGCACAAGCATCTTTGGATCTGCAGTCCAGAGCATCAGATCCGTATGGCAAACAAGGTGCTCTTATTGGGAAAAAATCTGATTCTGCTTCTGGAATGCCTGGTAAAAGTGCTAAGGATATGGATAAAGTGCTTGTATCAGAATCAGAGGTAAAAAATGAAAAAGATATCAGGCAAGATGAAATTGGGAATGAGATAAAAGGTGAAGGTCTGCAGTCTTTGCAGACGATAGATATGAATACCAGTGCGCTAGAAAATGGTAATGTGTTGAATAAGAATTCTGTGAAAGAAGAGGCTGCTGGAAGTACTTGGCAGCCTTCAATTGGAGATAAATCAGGTGATACAGTAGCTGGGGTTCAAAATAATACTGTCAATGAGCATTCTGGTATGAAAGACAAGGAAATTCAGCATGATCATCAGCTGAAAAATTCTTCATTGCTAGGGACAGAAATTTCAGATTCACAACCTGGTAAGCCGCAGAATGATGATAGGCCTACTTCAAAGCCTCCTTTAGAAGCTGATAATACTGCCTCAGCTGTCACCCAAACCCTTGATACTTCTCAAGGTCCTGGGGTCAATGAATACAGAAATATGGCTTCACTCAGTCATGGCCAGTCCAGTGGATCTCAGCTTTCTTGCCCAGCTTCCCTTGCTGATCAGGGAAAGTATCATAGTTTTGCAGGGCAAAGTTTTGCAATCCTAAGTCGATACAACCAAGGTCAAGCACCTTTTCATCCCAGTGCATCCAATTTGCCAAGTGTTGAATCTGGTGAAAGGCCACAGTTTGGTACTGGAGATATGCATGGTGGAACAACAAATTTACCACCACATGCTTCTGAATCCCACCTGCATCACAGGCCTGGTTACTTGAATGGTCCCCATGGTTTTGGTTCACAAGAAGAAAGGTTCAAGCCTTTCCCAGTCCCAGGTCAACAAAATATTGAACGAAGAGAGTTTGAAGATGATCTCAAGAGGTTTCCTGCACCTTATGCTGATGCTGAGCACATTTCAAAATATGGGGGCCATTCATTAGGTCCACATAATAGAGGTTCCCATGGGTTTAACTACAGCAGTGGTTCAAAGTTGAATCCTGGGGCAGGTGCTGTTACCTCAAGATTGTTTCCTCCCTCTTATTCTTTAAGTGACACTGGAGAGAGACCAGTTGCTTTACATGATGATGCCATGGTGAAATCAGATACAGCTCATCGCACTGATTATCTTGGAATAGGCTCAAGACATGGGCGGCATCACATGGATGGTCGAACTTCACGAAGTCCAGTTGGTGAACATGCTGAAATGTATTTGGGGAGAGCTGGGCTCCATTCTGGTGGTATTTCTAGTAGGTCAAGTGCATATGACTTTGATGGAAGACATCCTTGTCATTTTGGTGATTCATTTGGCACTGCATTCCGTGATAGTAGATTTTCTCATTTGCCAAGCCATTTTCACAGAGCTGAGCTTGAGGGTCCTGGTAGTATGCGAATTGGTGAACATCCAAGGGGTGAATTCATTGGTCAAGATGACTTTGCTGGCCATTTCCGGAGGGGTGATCATTTCGGTCCTCATAACTTGCCTAGACATTTGCCATTGGGGGAGCCTCTTGGTTTTGGTGCCCATGCTGGTCATGTGCAAGCAGCTGAACTTGGTGGTCCTCAGAGTTTTGAATCTTTCAATAGAGGTAACAGACCAGGTCATTCACGACTTGGTGAGCCAGGGTTTAGGAGCAGCTTTTCCCGTCCAGGGTTTTCTAATGATGGACTTTTAACAGTTAAGTGTTGGTTCGTTATATATTTATTTTCTGCCCATTATACTTGATAAATAGTTATCTCTGAAGCTTTGAAGTTGAGTCAATTTAAGTTTTTATATTTTTGTAACTTTAAGATTTCCCCCCTTGCTATTTTTATGTGTGTTTTTATTTTTGTGTGTGCTTTTCAGGGAGATATTGGGTCCTTTGATAATCTGAAGAGAAGGAAGGCAAGCATGGGGTGGTGTCGGATATGTAAAGTTGACTGTGACACTGTTGAAGGCTTGGACTTGCATTCTCAAACAATGGAGCACCAGAGGATGGCCATGGATATGGTTAAAAGCATCAAACAGAATGCCAAAAAACAAAAGTTGTAAGTTTATTTTTACGGTTGTTAGAAAGTAATAACTAAAATAATCTGTGACAGTTTTTCATTTTGGAGACAATGAATTTTTTGATTCTTCTAGAAAACTTTATTTTTCCCTGGGAAGTTAAACCCCTTTATTGCTTTATAATGTGATTTATTTATTTTTGTTGAACACCCAGTGAACAATCCTCAATTGAAGATGGGAGCAAGTCAAGAAATACTAGCTTTGAGGGCAGTGGGAAAAAGCACTGAACAGTAGTGGTTTGCTGCAACTCTAGTCTTGTGTCTCACTCGTGCAATTCTCATCAAAAGATGTTCCTGTGGCATTATTGCATTTAGCAATACTTACCTTTCTATGCCATTTTTCTACTTGAGGTGGTTTATGTTACTTTTGTTATTTCAGGTGGCTGCCATGTTAATGGGGATGGTTTTTGGATCTGAAGTACTGTGGCAGTTAAGTTTAATGGCTTTTGAATTTGAAATCCATTATTTGAAACTAGGATAATTTTCTCAATCTTGTTATAGCAAAGAGTTTCTATCTTCTCATTATGCATATAATGAGGTACAATTTCTCTAGATAGCAATTTTGCCCTAATCTTTAAAGCTGCCCCATGATATTTCACATTTATTGTAACTGAATATTCTAGTCTAGGTTGTATTGTTCCTTGATACAGAAGTTTGAATCTCCAGATCTTCTATGCTTATGTCTGTAGCATGTACAATTTTGAGTAATTGAGTATCTGATAAGAGAGTATTACCCTGTTGTAGTCTGCAGTAAGCACATTCATAATGGGTTCTTCAGTTATCATAATTGTGAAATTTTAGCTTTGGAAACCTGTCATGTAATCTGAATTCGTCCACCAGATTGTATGGGGAATAAATTTGATGGTGCAAATTTGCTTTGGAATTCTGATTAACAAAATTTCCATTGTGAGCTGCATAATTGCAAAGTTAGAATCAGTTCCTTACTCACTTTAGTTAAACTCAACTGTTGGCTATAGATAAAACATCTGATATTTTCAGCTAAAGTCTACTTAACACATGTAAAAAAAGAAAAGAAGGAATCCAAAATTTTAAAATTTATTTGTTTTCTAAGGAGAGGGATTTCCTTGGTGACTTGAAAGGAACAAGATTTGACCACTTGAATTCTATAGAAACATGCCAATTAACAGCAAATTTCTGCCTGAAATCTTCCCAGAAATTTTGTCCATGCCCTTATAGCTCTCAGCTTATATATACAGGGGAAACTTGATAAACATGCTTAGGTGGGGATAAACTGAAACCTGGATCATAATTTCAGGAGGAATCAATCTTTGCCCCTGTTTTCATAGAAAAAAACACATCAACTAAGTTTATCTAGAGACTCCCCCCTCCCAGCGATGAGATAAGCGCTGCCCCCTTTTTTGAGAGATGCGACTGTTTTCTTATTCTTGATGTAATATGATCACTTTATTCTTTAATGCCCCTCCTAATTATTGGGGTTGAAGACTGATTTTTTTTTTTCTTTTTTTAAATCTCATAATTAACTGTTCTATACCAAACTGAGTATCAGAAGTTTATGAGTAGTATTTTTAAAATTTTGAACCTACCCTTCTATGTTATTCCTGATTAGCCATCCAACTAGAAGTTTTCCCTTTTCCATTCCCTATTATTTGCTACCTTTTCATTTCATGCCCTCCCATTCAAAGCTTCTAAGCTTTGCTAGATTTTAATTCCCTTCTATAGGCTAGACCTTATCATGAGTCTGTGTAGGTTTTCAACTGGACACCAATATTTAGCTGAAGGTTTAGAATTGTTGAACAATGCATATTTCAATGATTTTGGACTCTGTTACTTGGGCCTTGGTGTTGTAGTTCTACTGCCAACAATTCTGTCTGATATTGTTATCAATAACAAGACTAATCATAGTATTCTTGTTGCTAAAGAGAATGGTGTTGCAGTATGTTGGATTGGAGTGCCATTTAGTAGTACCTCTATCAGCTGTGGTGAGGGTTTTGAAGTAGTAATTGGCCAATTTGGAGTAAACAGTTATGAAATGTCTTGATTGCTTGTTTGAGGCATGAAGTAGAAGAATTGTGCGCCTTAAGTTTTGGAATATTGGTTGCATTTGAGCAATATGAACTATTTTTCTTGTATATTGGTGCAGCATTGTTGTAGAGCAATACATTCTGATGCTTAGTTTAAAGAGGAGTTCAAATAGAATAGTGGCTGGTGAATTAATTGGTTTTAATACCTTTGTTAACAAAGAGACTTGGACCTGTCGGTCTTTAATTCAACGTGAGTTCAGTTGTTAGCTTTTGATGGTTCTTTGGTAAGTATAGTTGTGAATGATGTTACAAATTACATTAATTTTGGTTAAGTTTGGAGAAGTCCTTTTTTTTTTTAATAATTATCATGATGATCATCTTTTCTAACAATATTGGGAAGAAAATGAAACATCAATACTGATCAAAATAGGATGCTTTCCCCTAGTAAAATTTGCCTTTAGTGCATATCTGTCCTTTATTTAATTTGAATTGCATACCAAAATTTCAAAGTTAGCTAAGCTTTTTGATGTGATATAAGTAAATTTTTTTTTATTTGTGGTAAAATTTCTTTTCTATAATAGATTTTGAATTCATCCTGTCTTTGGCTGGGGAAGCAGACATCAAAAGGCTGCAACTTCTGTGGAACGATTAACCTGGTCGTCTTTGTCTGTGATGTGGTAAGATTTTGCTGGTAGCCAACTTACAACCTAGTGTTGAATTCTTAGATTGGTGAAAATTTTTGGCACTATTCATATGTCTGTTTTTGAACAAGTTATTGCTTAGTTTGCACTCAAGTTTAATTTGCTGCAGTTGAGAGCCTGATATTAGTATTACTTATGAAGACTGCAAGAACAAAATAATACTTATGTGGTTTTCTAGTAATATTATACGTGTTTGGAATGTAAATTAGCTTAAATGAACGCATAGGTCTTAGCCAAATCTTAAGTCTGGCAGAAAAAATTGGTTTTAATGATTAAGTGGGCTAATTAACAATCTCCGAGAAGTGTCACTAAATGAGCTGTTAATGATTGAAAGTGGGCTAATATCTCTAGTCTGAACTTGCTTTGGTTAGTAATCAAACAAAGATGGATGGGATTTTATCAGAGAAATAAAAAGGTTTGGGGGTGGGGGGAGTGAGTGGACTGAAAGTGTATGGGTTCATTCTCGATGAATTGGAAGTTGTACAGGGTCCTTTATATAGAATGGTGAAACATAATAGACGATCTAATCTTAACTTATGACAAAACATAACAGTGTAGCAGACTTAAATTCCTCCGGCACCTGTCAATTCCAAGAACTCTTCTACCACTCTAATGCACCTACATGAGTTCTGAGTTCATCAAGAATAGTGCTTGGTTGTTACATATTGTGATGCACCAACTACAGACCTGTACAGATGAGAGCCAACAAATCAAAACCTTCCTTTCTTGGCTTCAACCCAGAAGCCATAGGAGTTGAAATGCCCTTTGTATTTTCTTGTTAGCCCTTTCAGAAGGTCTTTCACATACCTTTTCTGTAACAACTTAATTGAGCTATCCTTGATGGTCTTTATTCAAGACCTTAAAAATAGCCTAGAGAGCCAAGATTTTCTATGAAATTCCCCTGCCCACCCTTTCAATTAAATCTTTAATTCACTTATTTGATGAACCTGTGATAAGCATGTCATCCACTTAAACCAAAACATGAGTTGCATTTGTAGGGGGAACTCTAATGAACAATGAAGGGTCACATTTGTTTAATTAAGGCCCATGGCTTGTTTTAGGCCATATATAGCTGTTGAGTCTGGACACATTGATTTGCTGCTTTCAAAACCTGGTTCATGTTGCTACAATCTTCCTCTTGCAACAGTCCTTTGAGGAAAGCATTATTCACATCAATGTAGTGAATATGCCAGCCTCTAGCTGAGCTATAACAATAAGACCACTTAAATTGTTACTGACTAAATAACTGGACTCGATGTTGCTATGTAATCAAACCCTTTCTTTGGTGAAAACCTTCAGCAACCAAGCATGCTTTTAGTATGTTTGGTTTCCCATTTATAACAGGTTTTGCATCTTGAGACAGTCACTCCCGCGTTATAATAACAAAAATAACAAGTCTTATCTCACTAGGTGAGGTTAGCTATGTGGATTGCATGAGTCTGTTGTACTCTTTCATTAACGAAGCTTTTAGAGATGTTGTTAACAAAGAGCTCTTGTTCGACAATTTTCATAAGTGTTCACTTTGGTTTTCCTTTACCTCTCTTTACAGGGTTAAGATTATCTATTACACTCTCCTCACTGGTGCCTTCAACAGTTTTCTCTGTACATGTTCAAATTATCTCAAACGATTTTTTACCATTTTCTCCTAAAAAGATGCCACGCCCACCTTTTCTCATATATGTTTATTTCGGATTTTATCTTTTCATATATGCCCGCACATTTATCTCAATATTATCATCATTGATTTAACTTTATATTCTTGCTGTTCCTTTAAAGCCCAACATTTACTACCATATGGCATAATTGGTCTTATAGTAGTTCAATAAAACTCTTTTAAGTTTATTAGGTATTTTTCAATCACACATAACTCCTTTAGCTTTTGTTCAATTAAACCACCCGGTTTGTATTTGATGTGCAACATTCTCATTAGTTTTCCCACCATGTTAAATACAACAACAACAACAACAAGCCTTTATCCCACTAGGTGGGGTCGGCTACATGGATTGCAAGACGCCATTGTGCTCTATCATTTATTAAGCTTTTAGAAATATTATTAATTAAGAGATCACGTTCAACAATTTCCAAGAGTGTTCTCTTAGGCCTTCCTCTACCTCTCTTAATCGAACTCAAAGTTATATGTTCCACTCTTCTCATTAGTTTTCCCACCATGTTAAATAATAACTATTAAATATCTTTTACTTCTCCATTTGAGGTATAGTTTGATCTCTCAACCTTACTTCCAAATTACTATTGATTGATCTTTTGTCAAAATTACAATGCAAATATTCTTATTGCTACTTAAACGGAAACTTTTCAACTTCAAGGTCTTCCTCCATAACTCAAGTATGCAATTAATTTATTTTCTTGCTTTTGCAATTAGAACTATATCATTTGCGAAAAGCATACATTTGGGAATTTCCTCTTAAATATGCTTAGTCAAAAGATTTAAAATGAAGTCAATCAAATGAGGACTCAAAGATGATCTCTGATGTAGTGCAATCCTTTTAAGAAAGTCCTTTGTTTTATTGCTAAACGTTCTTATATTGGTTGATGTCTCCTCATACATATATTGTATGGATCTAATATTGGCAACCTAGGCTCCTTTCTTTTACAAAGCTTTCCAAAATATTTCTTTTGGTACGTGGTCTTAAAATTTTTTCAAATAAATGAAAACCATGTGTAAATCTTTACTTTTGCTTCGGTATTTTTCCATTAATCCCCTTGGTAGATAAATCACTTTTGTAATTACTCTACCTGACATGAAGCGAAATTGATTCTCAAAAATTCTAGTCTCCAATCTCAACCTACGCTCGATCACTATTTCCCGCAATTTCATAGTATAAGTTACAAACTTAATTCTTCTATAGTTTGCACAATTCTAAATATTCCCTTTTTGTAACTATGAACAAAAGTTCTCCTCTGTTCGTCAGGTATTTTCTTGGACCATAAGATTTCATTAAATAACTTAGTTAGCTATTGCAGCCCCTCTTTACCTAAACATTTTCACATTTCAATAGAGATACAATTAGATCCATTGGCTTTACCATTTACCATTTTCTTGAGAGCTTCCTTTATCTCACTATCACATATCCTTCGATAGGATGACAAATTTTGTTCTTTTTCACGAATTATTAAATCCTCCAAGTTACTGGACGAGCCCCTTCAAAGTCACTTCCACATTACTTTAATCAAAATGTGATTTTGACAAAAACCAATTGATTTCTAAACACGAACTTTATGTGTAGTAATAGAGCCATCAACATTTCTCTCGACTTCAAGCACCCTTGTACATCCTATTGCTTCTCTTCCAGGTGCTAAATTTACTAGTTACTTGGTTCCCTTGTTTGTTAGTTCTATACACTTCTTCCATAGCTTTCTATAACTGAGGAGTATTGAGAGCCTCAACAATAGAGTTAGGTTCTGTTCTTCGAATACCCTTTCAATTTCCTGAATTGGAGCAAGTAGCCATAAGGTGAAGATCCATAGGAACATTCCCGGGGCTGCTGTGAGGCAAATCTGAACTATTACAAGGTTGACATGTACCTGGTACAGTTCTGGAGGCTAATCTATTTCATTCCTCTCGTTCATTTGTTGAATGCTGAACAGAAGAGGAGCTTTGCACACATTGTTGGTGTGAATCATGATTTCTGGAGGTCTGATTTTGTGAAAAGCCAGAGCTGCTGCTTCTATTAGGTTCTGATTCTGAATATTTGGATTCTGAAAAATTAGGATCAACATTAAACTATTTGATGAATCAGGCTCTTGTTCACTAGTTGTTGAGCTAATGCTTTGGTTTAATTACTTTGATGCTCCTTAACACAATTCAGCTACATACAAGCAAGTTTGCTATTTTTGGCCTTCTGGAACTGATGTTTCGACTACTTATTGAGTTTTTGCAATGGGAGTGAGTCATGATTTATGTTTTATGGCTCTATATTGTGGTTTTGACATGATTTGTTTTGATGACCTTTGTATTGGTTTGATGTGATGTTATGTTCTACATTTTGTTTTTCATGCTAATATTGGAAATGACACTTTGGGTGTCAGCTAGCTCTTTTGACTCGGAGAGAATATATCCTGATTGTATTTTTTGATAAAATGCAATCATTAAAATTTGACCCCCATTATTCCTATGCTGTTGAATTTCAGTACTAGTTCCTAAAAATCTTATTTTGCTAGTGAAGATTTTGTATCATCTTTGAATCATTATCTTTTTGGCTCTGAATGTGAGGTATGCTTATTTGCAATTCTGGGCTTCAATCTCTGCCTCGCCATGTATTTTTTTTATTCAGGTTTGTGCTTTTCAATACTTAATCTTTGTTAGTAGACTCCATTTGAAAAAAAACAAAAACAAAAATCCTGTTGCCTTTGGGAAATGTGTGCTTGGGTGGGATTCTTTCCTTGGCCCATTGGTTCAAATGTTTAGAGTATATAATTTGTTGACTGCCCAAGTTGTGCAGTCTAATGTTAGTGCAGAGTGCCCAAGTTTTATTTTTCGCTTCAGACTGGATCAAAGTTCTTTTTCCTTGCAACTTTACCATGATTTTGCAATTATTTTTACTAACTCAGAAGCAAAGGTTATATTCTAAAATCAATGAAAAGCCCATGTTAGCTTTATAAGGTTCTGAAATTAAGCATTACCTTGAGTTAGGCTTGGCTTTAGAATAACTCGCCCTGTAAATCTGGAATTAGTCTTAGTAAGAGGTCAAAGTGTTAGAAATTGGCTAATAGCTAGAAGAATTGCTTTTACTGTTATTTCATGCCTCCTCAAAGTAGAGACCTGAGAGAGAGAGTAACATTGAGCCCATCTGAGAGCCTTGTGGTAGTGATTAAAAACTTTAGAAATAGCTGAAATGCTTGATACTTGGAAGCAATGGACAAAAGGGAAATGATAGCACCATCTGTTGCTATGGGGATGTCAGGGTTTCAGATGTTAGACAAATAGTTGCAGAGAAATTTGTATTTAAGTTCTACATGCGTATGAATTTGTATATACTTGCCACCAGCTATCGTTATCCGAGCAAGAAACAAGTTTTATGAACGTCTAATTCAAAATTATTGCATAACTAGAGAACATTTTTTCCTCCTCGGTAAAAAGTGTGCATGTAGCAGACTGGCCAAGTTTAGCAAATAAATAATCCCTTGATATTTATGAAAATCGGTAGTGTCACGAAGGTATATTATAAGGTCCTTGGCGGTGGGAAAGCAATTTAGAAGACAATTTAAGGGAATTATATCAATTTTTACTCTAGAATGAATCGTTTGAAAAGTTGAAATTGATGATAGATAGGATTTTGTCAGCCGTACAAGTCTAGCTAAATATTTGGTTGGAACATGAGTTTTAAGGAGCATTATGTTATCGCAGCGTAAGTCAAGGTATGGCCAAAACGAGTTTTGATGACAAAAAAAAGAATAGTTCTCAGGTGAAGGTGTGGCCCCTCATGGCTCATGGACGAGGTATTATTCCTTTGTATATTCAGGGCTAACATAATTATTTTAAAGTTGGGAAACGATTTTTTGCAAGGGCGTTGAATGAGGAATCTTGCTTGTTTTGGGCATTGGGCGGTGCAAATTTATCTTCGTTTTCTCGGGCTACTGGAATTCATGTGAGTATGCTAAAAGCCTAAAAGTTGACTCCTCCGACGGTCTTTAGAATGCCAGTGGAGAGTAAGTTAAGCGAAGGGTGTGACAAGGAAGCAAGACACAACGTGTGTTTTCACCATGGTTGGGTGGGAAGCAACCTGCTGCCCTAAGATTTGCCATGGTGGGGAGGCTGAGTAACCATAATGCTCCATCATATTTGTCAGTTGTGTATTTGAATTGAATCCCCTCGAGGGGACACTGAGGAGATAATAGAATAAGTAGAGAAAGAAACGAGCGGTATTTATCCAAGTGGGGTTCCCTGTGTTCCCCCACTTCTTGTTGTCATTGTATTTTGAGTGACCGAAAAGAATTCAAGTTCAGTCATGCCCTTGTTGAAGGTTATATTATCATTCCATGTATGCTTTTGGACCTCCACTTTCACATGCCCAAAGTGAAATCGTTCTTTTTCCCCCATTTATTCCTCAGCATTATGTAATGGGAATAGAACTGTTCCATCATGTAATGTGTATGTATGTTGAAGTGTTTTACAGGAGCCTGTCTACTTAATGCTATGGTATTAACATTAAAAAATGATTTCACAACAATCATGTTTGAAAGACATGGATTGAAATATTCTTAACGATCAAATATCCATCTCATCCACAATTTATTTAATTTAACGTGTTCTTTGAGAGCAAATAAAAATTGGGTTTAGTTTTTAAAATAGAAAGACATGGATTAACTATACTTCTTTATTTATTAAAATTTAAATGTTATCTAGTTAACTAACATCCTAGATATAGAACTAGTTAACAAATTCATAGAAATTAAAAAAAAAATTGGTTGAATTGATTATTCATTATTATTGTGTGAAAAATGTGTCACTTTTAACGAAATCCTGTGTTTAGCATCAAAACATACCCTGGAATTAAGGCTTATATTGAAGACGGGTGCAAAGCGGCCAGTATATTGTGTGTTTAAAACGCAGGCGTTTGGTTAGCCACTCTTGGTGCCTGGAGCTCCGCGCAGAGAATCAAGTCCGGGAAAGAAAGTTGAGTGTGGGCAACAGCCAGCAGCCGCCGAAGGCAGGAGAGGAGTGATTTGATTTCAGCTGGGCAGAAGGGGAAGCACCGGAATGGGGGCTGCTCTCGCCTTCACACCCCAATCTCTCATTTCTTCAGATTCTCATTCAACCTCTTCAGACACTTCACCTCTGCTTTGTCCTCGGCTTCCTCTTCTTCTTCTTCTTCTTCTTCTCAGACCAACTCTACCACCTCTGAGAAATCCACTGCAAGAAAGAAGAACTTGTTCGAGGTCGCTCAGTTCTTGCCTCACTGGGGAATCGGGTACCACATGGCCAAGAGTCACTGGACTGACGTCTCCTGCGAAATAACCAAAATCAATCTCTACAAGGTCTTTTTCTCTCCTTGAATTTACCCTTCTCCACCAATGGCAATTTTGCATTGCTTCGTTCAAAGAAATGCATTCATTTTAGATCTCTACTGCTTTGCAGGATGGAAGGCATGGGGCATAGTTCATAAAAATGGTCAGTCCTTAGTTTCCTGCCAGCACTTTCTTTCATACAGTTTCTGCCCCCCACCCCACCTCCTCCCCCAGCTCTATCGTAATTTTAGTTTCCCCTGTCGTACCGTTAAAAGGATTATCTCTGCCAGTGTACAAGCGGATCCGGACAATCGTTGATGGCAGTGATTATATGCTGCAGTATTATTCTTCAGTGGGACTATGGGTCAAGATTGCATTTCTGATGGATGAATTGTCTCATCGTTAGTGATTATGACTCTACGCCTGCTTTTTCGCTGAGATATTGTTAGGACTGGGGGAATATATAAGAATTTGGTCGCATTTGTATAACGTGTCTTAACTTTTGTTCCTTTTATAGTTTTTATTGCTATATGGTTGTCTTTACAATTCGAACTATTAGCGATATCCCCTCTCGATATCTTTAGTGGAATATATAAACCACAGATAAATAACTAAATGGATAATCAATATATAACTATTGAATTCCTTTGGCTAACATTCGTTATTAATGCCGTTTCACACTTCTTATGAATTATTCATCCGAACTTAATATTGAATCTATTATTGTTGTCTAAATGATTGAATCGATGCTTACTTGAGTTTATGACTTTTGCTTATGAGTCTGAGCACGGAGATAGTTCAAGATACTTTTCTTCTACTGAGCATATTAGGTGAATGTTTTGTACTTTTGCTGAAAAGGGTGGCAAGAGTAATGTCTGGTTATTCTATCTAAAAAAGGGAGCAATCGCTGGCAATTCAATATGGGAAGACGGGAGTAATACGCTTCAATGTTCGAATTGCATCGAAGCCGGCTTGTTTTTGTACAAGAGTGTGTCCCTTTAGGATTCAATTTCCGAAATCTTTGGCGGAATAAGGTAGTGGGAAGTGTAAAGACACAATGATTGTGATGTGCTTCTTGAAATCTTGTCTGTCTCGTTGGGCTTTTCTGATATGTTACAACATTTTGCAGGCTTGCCTGCAGCTGACGCTCCAAAGAAAATCAGCGGAGTTCACAAGCGCTGCTGGAGATGCATTAAAAATTTAGTTAAATCTTCAGAAAGCTCAGCAAACTCAACAGGTTCAGCAGAAAGTGGCCTAAAAGTTGAAACCCTAGCAAGCTGATAAGTTCCTTTTGCTCTAGAGACTACAGTTGGGGGCATCCATTGATTCTGCAACAATGCTGATGTTTATGCATTTTTTTGATCTTTTAGGATCACAAATATTTTCATCGGCTCAGTGGCGTCTTGTAACGAAAACAATGTATATGGATCTGTCGAAATATGAAATTGAAGTCGTTCCAATCAATGTCATTTCGGTCCTGGAGGTAAGATTTATTTCCCCAAACAAATATGGGGTTTGTGTGTCTGGCATGGTAAATTCTCGTGGATATCCAGAAAACAAATAAGATATCAGGTAGTACTGTAGTAGAAGGGAATGCGGAAAATTGAGCTTGAAAACTAGGCTCATGGGGAAAATAAATTACTTCAGATCGCCCATGTTGACCCGGATGGAGTGTCTGGGGCCCATTAATCCATCACTGACATATTTTTCAATTTGTTTGAAAAATAATCTGAATTAAGACATTTTTATGCATAATATAAAATTTAAAAAAATGAATTCACTGTCTGTGACCTGTAAACAATCTTCTATATAAATTACTATTACTTGTATCATCATAACATATTGGTTAACACTTCGTCCAAATCCGTAGTCCATCAAAACAAAAAAGTGCAAGCAGTGCCAAGAACTCTTTAGACTCAGTGGGCCGAAAAGGAATTCTCAAGGCCCAAAACATTAGTGACCAACACAACATCGGATCATCTAAAATCTGGGGCAAGATGACCAGTCACTTGTACAATCTCCTGCCACTTGACGGCCCCCCCAACCCTAACACAATTAAGATGGCCGTTTAGCACCAATCTCTCTAGGGCTTTGGGCCAATCACTCGGCTTTAAGTTTCGTAAAAATTTATTTATCAAAAGTTCAATTTATTTTTGTATCAGTCCAATTTATTTTGAAACGAATTTTTGGCTTGATCCTGTCATACATCTTTCTACCAAGCTTTTGTTGACAACAAAATCATAACTACCAGATGTCGAGTCAATTGACCATCGATTTGGCTTGGCTGCAATCACCGCTTCAAACGATTGTCTCAATTGGAAATTGAAACTTGCAGTATTCAAGCAAGAAAATTATCACAAATCGATGAACTTGAATCGAGCTAGAACTGAAGCAAAATGACCTACCTACCAAAGAATCGGCTTGATCTGGAAAACGAGATAGCTTCTGAAGAACATGAGCACTTTGAGAATCAAAAAAGCTGCTTTTTATATATATATATATATATATATATAAAATGCACCAATGAAGTGATAACTTGGTGGAGCCAAGGGGGTGTTGCAAATTGTAGAGGCTACCAGAAAGATGCATACATACAATTAATACTTGTAAATTTTCCTTGATAAATAAGGGGAACGTGAAGAAAGGGAAACGACTATACACTTTCAATCTCTATGCTTTCTGGTTTCCAGCATTGTGCCATCTTTAAGACTTTCCTGTGCATCACTGTCCATTCCAAGGCTGAAGAGAGCAGCTGCTTGAAGATAGAAGGCAGTGTGCCACGTGGGTGACACTGATTGGGCTTGCATGGCATCTCCAAGAGCTTCTTGAGCCATGTCGTTCATCAAGTAACATAAGCAGCGCCTGGCATAAACAGTTGGCGATACCATAGTCCCTACATCGATGAACTACACCCAAAACATGCATCAACATTTCTATTTTAGGTCAGGGGGAAGTAAAATGTGATCACATCTTAATTCATTAACCATGCTAACTAAACCCACTCCTCAAAAAGCGCAATTTAGTAAAATGATGGAATCAGTTTTCCATGGCATGAAGAATTTCATCAAATTTCATAAACGATAATCATGTCAAGCGTTCTCACTTTTTTCCTTTTAAATCCAGAATTAAAATTAAAATCTGAAAGTTTCCTTCATTTATGAGCGCTGAAATTTTGACTTCCTTGCATCATATCTTACTTGTGTATAGTAGTCAACGGCTGTAGAGAAGTCTTTGGCACGAAAAGCAGAATCTCCTTGCTTCTTAGAATTCAGAGTTTCTTGTATTTGATTAGTCCACATTTGGAATGAAAGCTGTGATCCAGAAAAAAGGATAGAAATTGAATGAGAATGAAACCAAAGCTTAGAGCAACAAATTTGGGCAAGCATAGACTTGGATGAAAAATGGCAAGTCCGCATAACTTGATGAAGATAATTGATTGACATTAAAGTTGTCGTGAATAACATAGTGATACCATTTCTTCAGTAATTCTTGTTCTCTTAAAGCACATGCCAAGGCTATAACCAAACAAAGATGATGTTGAATAAATTATTCATCATATGAAGAAAGAATATCCGACAATTCATCAAATATCAACGCTGAAAAGAAAATCAAAATTTGGTTATATCACATGTTTAAGAGTTGGATTGGACAAAATGCCCAGACCAGTAGTACCTATAACGTTTATTTGCTTGTATCTTAGTATAGGAATTCTTAAGGATATTTCAAGGCTTTGTACCAAGTTACCAATAAAATTTACTTGAATATATCTGAGTACAGGAATTCTTAAGGATATTGTAAGGGTTTGGCTTCCGGTAGAATTAATGCATCCTCACCTCCAGATCACTCATACTGTGTGTATGGGTTTTAAATAATATTAGTTGTGGTTTGAGTCATATTACTCTGTCTTTTTAGTGAGTGATTTCTTATGCGAACATTTTTACGTAAATAAATCCCAACTTGAGAAAAATTTATCATTTTAAAGTTTAGAGGAAAATGGGTCTCAAGAATAGAAGAATTCATCAGGGATGGGGAATATTTTTACCCATTAAATATGGCCTAAAGATGGAGACTATAGTATTCTATCCATAACCATCCCTATAAAAGAAGCACAAATAGGTGCAGTACAGATATCTTGTAAAAAGGACTGGCAACTGATAAGCAGTACATTTGGCACCAAGAACACTTTCTGTTAGTGTAGCCAAAGAATTAATCATTAACAAGGGAAAAGAAAAGAAAAGCCACTAAGCAGTCTCGTGATAAAATTATACAAAATAAATAGAAATCCAAAGAAACCAGTGAGTACCTCATTTGCAACATCTTCATCATCCTTGTACCCAACCTTTTCCAAAATTTCATGCATTGCAGTGAAGTCTCTTCTAGAACAAGCTTCACCAAAAGGTGTCAATGAAACTGTTTCCCTTGTAGATGCAATCCCATCTGGTATGCCCATCAAAACTTTTGATGGTTCCTGGTAAATAGCACCTGATGTAAATTATATACATTTCCATACTTTCATAGGCACCACCATCATGTACAGGTCTATAAAGTAAACCTGAACCTTGAATCACTTGCAATAGAAGAGCTTGAGACTACAAAACAAGGGAGAGTAGAAGGAAAAGCTTACTGAAGTTTCTTTCTGAAGAGGAGCTAGAGCAGTTACGAGTGACTTGGCATTAGGCCTCTCACGAGGTTCATACTGTAAACAACGTGAAGCTAATCTCACTAATTCAGTTCCATCGTCACTTGAAAAATGGGCTTCCAAACATGAATCAATGAGCAACAAAAAATTTTTCCCTCGTATAAGATCAAGTGCCTGCATGTAAAAGGATTATGTCTCCTAGTTTAGATATAAGCATTTTAACAGTGAGCTACGATCATTTGCCAAATTCATCATCAGATGTCGAATGAGCCAAATCCATATAATTGCAAATGCAGTAAAATCCAATCTCAAGTCAAAACTAAGGAAAGAACCAAATTGTATCGAAAAGAAAAGAAAATAGAAGATGCATACATGACTGGGTGGAATATGTTTGCCACTGAGAAGATCAAGCAAAAGGGTGCCAAAACTGTATATAACACTTTCTGGGGTAATCCTTCCTGCCAAATTGGAACACATGTTTAGCTCAGTTAAATAATTATAGTCTGAATGCCCGCAAAAATTTCATTGGGCATGCCCATTATCCTCAACTTGGGATCACAATCCCAAATGCATAAACATCTCGAGATAACACAGTACAAGATCATCTAGAAGCTTTTATTTGTCAGTTGTTACCTGTCCTCAAGTACTCTGGAGGGGTGAAGGCTAAGTTTGTACTATAACTCTTGCCATCTCTGCTGTTCTTCATGAGTCCAAAACAGGAGAGTCTGGGATTGCCATGCTGTCCACAATTGATCCCAGGTAAGAAATAGTTGACAAAAAATAATGATTTAAACGATCATGGTTAAAAAAAAGCTTAAGTACCTGATCAAACAGAATTCTATAAGCATTAAGATCATGGTACAATGCCCTTCCTCTGCTACTGCAGTATTCTAAAGCTTGTGCTAAGTAAAAGGCCACTCTCAGCCTCATTGCCCATTTCATGGGCTGGGTCTCCCCTATCAAAGGAGTTCATTCAAATTACAAACGAGGGATTCGCAACAACGAGAATACTTCAGAAACTAACTCAACTAAACAGGAATCAATGGAGGACGAAGATTACTTAAATTGGTTTCTCTCTTTGCTTCCTAAAAAAAATGCCTGATACTAGTCAATTATTATCTCAAGATGCTTAATTATCTTCCTAATAACTTGCGTTACCTAGTTAATTATTGTTAGATTGGATTTCCCCCCTACAATTGGCTTCTGATGAGCAATTATAGCATCCAATAAAACTAAACCAGTAAGCCAAACTTCCATTTTAAACAACTGTTACAAGAGAAGAGCAACTTAAGAGATAAATATGAAACAAATAATAAAACTTACAATGAAAAAGGTGTTTGGAGAGAGTTTCATTGGGCATGAACTCAGCAACAAGCAGTCTTTCTTCCCCTTCACAGCAACACCCAATCAAGTTGGCTAATCGCTCATTCCGCAGCTGCCCCACTGATCGTGCTTCCTCCTGCAAGTTAAACCAGCCACAGCAACCATGAACTACCGCTCGCAATCACAGATAGCTTATGCCATCCGTATACATGCATGGTCCAACATGAGAGAAGTTCTAAACCATAAAAACACGGGTGAAAGCAAAAGGCACGAACTAGGAATTGTCGAGAATCAGGCCAAGCCGACTTGTTGAAGCGCTTCACAGCTACCCACCCGTCATCTTCAAGCTTCCCTTTATAGACAACATTGGGAGCTTTCTCACCGTGCTCTGACACGATGTTGTCGGGTGAAAATCCTGAAGTGGCACTTCTTAGTTGATCCAAGCTATATTCTATGATTCCAGGCTTCTCATTCTTGTTCCCATCATCTGCAACCCAGTTCGAGATTTAAGTGAAAGGAAAAGAGGCAAAACCAGCAAGCATTTTTGGTTTTTCTCCAGAAAATGAACAGTGAGAAAACCTCACCATTGTCAGACAGGTCATGAAGATTTGATTTGATATTAGAGGACCACCAGCACAGTGAGAATTTCGAGCAACGACCTCCCATTGGTGAATAGCAATTCCTCAATAACTTTTTGGGGGAGACTGGAGTGCAGAGAAGAATAGGGATAAGGTGGAATGGAAAATGATGAAGAGATGGGAAGTGAATAAGAGAGGGAAAGTCGGGTATGCTTGGAGAAGAGAATGCTGATGAAAAAGAATCCTCTTTTGAGATCCAAGGGTTCGTGCCGGATCTTAAGAGTCACCCCGAGCACACCACCTCTTCATCATTCATTCCCTTTTCTTCCAGCTTTCCTTTTTTCCTGTAGCCTGCGCTCTGAGCTCTTTGCCACTCCACTATATCCATTTTGAGGGGGGAAAAAAAAAAAATATATATATATATATAGATTCATTAATTATTTGTTTGCTGTTTGTTTTTTTAATTTTTTTTTTCTGGCTTGATAATGCCTCGGCAAGACATCCCATTCCATTCCCACGCTCGCCTCTGAGCCCACCACTGACAATATATGCCACGAGGTGGGGGTGGTGTTGACAATCTGGCTCTCCCTCGTCCTTTTTGCTGTTTCGCCTTTCTAATTATCTGTTCTCACTTCTCGGTATCACTTGCCCACCAAACAGAGCATGTGGAGAGTTCGCGTTGTCGAAATATTTTATTTTTTTATTTTTAAAATCATGTACAAAATTTCGAGTAAATCTATACAATAAATACGGTGTGTATGCTATCAAGTCACGGGTAAGACATGCACTTTATTACGGATAACAAAATAAATACGCAGTCAAATGGAGATACCAAGAGTGAAGATTAAGGAAACTAGGCCCCGTTCGGTAGTTTGAAATCATGAAGAAAGAAATGAAATTAGATATGGAATCTATTAACATGTGTGTTTGGTATGCAATAATTATGATTCTTTGGAATCAGAATTCAAGGAAATTTGATGGAATCCAATTCCATCATATGCATCATGGAATCCAATTTCATAGTTCCTTTTCTCCAATTTGTCCCTTCTCTCTCCTCCAATATAATTTTTTTTAATTTTAAAAAGGACACTTTAGTCTTTTCTTATTTTAAATACTTATATTTTATTAAAATTATATCAGGATTCCATCATTATACCAAACACACTTTTAAATCCAATTCCATTCCAATTCCAATTTCAATTTCGATTCCATTAAAAACTCTTCCATCATACCAAACATGGCCCTAATGTTTTCCGAAAGCCTGACTCTGAATTGATGTGGATGCGGAGTATATAATACAGAATAAAAAGCGTGACTCTATGAATGTATATTGATGCTGTTCCATCCTGTAAAACATTTTAAATAAATTAAAGTTTTATTAAATATATTAATTTTAATATTATTTTTCTCTTTTTATAATTAATTTATATTTTTTTAATATATTAAATGATGAATATTTTTATAAGTTTATATTTTTATTTTAAAAAAATAAAATTATTAAATATATTTAATTAAATTTGTTAATGTGTGAGATTTTATTTAAATTTATTTTATAATTTAAAAAGAAGGGAGTGCATGATAAGTTTAGAAATGAGGAGCGGCGGAACTCATTTTTTATTTTGTACTAGAGAACAAGAACGAGAGACACTGGGAGCAACAATTATGAGAAGGGAAAGTGGAACGAATAATAACGCACATCCTCACCACAGCCTTTTTTCAAGCCATGATCCCATTTTCCTCAATCGGTCATTCATATACACGTCTTTTTGTTCTGCACTTTTTCAACTCACAATACAACACGAACCCCATCCATCCCGCATCCCTTTTTTTTTTTTTATTTATTACTGTATCCATCCAAAAAAAATAAAACACTACAGTTTGTAGATATACTATTAATTAAAATTTTCCAAGATTTGAGCAGACTCGGAGGGATCTGCCACCCAAATCTCCAACATGACTCCATCACCCATCTCACCATGCACCCTTTCGTCCGTCCTTCGATGTCATTCCTCAGCTTTACACCTTCCCACTTTAGTCTCTGCAAACACACTTGTTTAACGCCTTGTTCAGTTGCTGCAAAGATGAGCGGTATTATTTATCCAGAACTTTAATTTATTTAATTAATTGTTGAGTTTCACAAGAAGGAAAAGAAGAGCAGCTGATGATGTGACGGCGACGAAGAGAAGCAAGATGTAGAGGAGGCAGCGGCTGATTAACCTTGCGTGTTGCCAGTGAAAAAGGCCTCCTTTTCATAGGAAAGCTACCTATGAAACGTCCCTGATGTTACAACTTACAGGAGAATGTCAGCGAAAATAACTAAAAATAATAGTAATTCAGAAAAAAATAATGTCAAATCAAAATTTTCAGTCACGAAAAAAATTATAAAAGTTAAAAGTTTAACAGCTTATTGAGAGGAGTTCTTTATTTTGGAAGAGATTGAAGTTGGATTTTGTCCTTTGTAAAGAAGGATACTTGAATCGTTAGGTTAAATTTAAAAATTCAAATTTAATAATTTTTAAAAATAAAAATATAATTTGAATAATTTGGATTTCCAGTAAAAAAAAGTAGAATAAAAAAATTCAATCAATGATTTAAAAATTAAATTAAACTGGCCAATTCAATCGGTTCAATCAGGAATTAATTTTTGATCCAACTCGATTGACCTTTTAAAACTAACCCATAAAAAAATCAGCCAATGACAAAAAAAATCAGTCAAAATAAAAAAATTAATTGAAAACTATACCATTTTCCTTAAAAAACTAATCTAAATTATTTAAAAATTTTAAAAATTAATTTAAAAATTAATTAAAATTAATTATATATTCATCAATAATATATCATTTTACCAAGCAGTTATTAATATTTTTTTAAAAAATATAAATATGTACATATATTTTTTATTTAATTATAATGTATAAATTTAAAATATATTAATTTTATGTTAATTGATTCAACTACAATTTAATTAATAAATTGTGAATTAGTGATTAGTTTGATTTAATGACCGATTTAATCTTTAAAAGCTTGAATCCAAAACATTGAGATTGTGTCTGCCGGTTAAAATCTTAATTATCACTCGAGGTAGAGCATGAAATGAGAGGGAGGGAGGCAGAGAAAGGCACGTTGCACAAGAAGCATTATTATTAATTAATAATTTGCCTCATGTTAACATCAATTGGCTCAAGGAGGAATCACGTGCCTTCGTCGTCCGCTTACCTGCAATTAATGAAGTTAACAGAGAAAAGCCGAACAGCTCTTTTCTTTTCTTTTTTTCAACTCTGGGGGAAAGAACACAACCCCAACGCCTCGTTTCTTTCTTCTTTTTAAAATATTACAGATTCCACATCCCTAGCGTTTATTTGCGTTGCGTTGCGTGAGCTCATTGGGATCCAGTTGGGAGTGTGCTGGATTTTTCTTTTATTCTCTTTTCCCTTGTTTCCCCGCCCACGGGGTTTAATCTGGTAATCAGTCATAGGCATAGTGGTTGCATGGAACATATATATATATATATATATTCGCTGGTTTTCAACTTCTTCTAAAATTCGAGTCCATGAATCTGTATGTTTATCAATATCAATACTGAAAAAGAGAACGGGCCATGAATTTCAAACATTTTTTCAACTCAACGATGACCAATGTTCGCAGCCCAGCTATGTTCACCTTGAGCTATAATGTGAGTTTATATGATGCTAAACATAATGCAACAGTGTGTTTCTGTTTTTTTTCTTTTTTTGGGCCGGTGGGTCTGGGGAATCGCCACGACATTAGTTTTAGATAGTGAAGCATCGAGGTTGGGAGAAACAAGAAAGCAGCTGTTGTAAGGAGTTGTTAGCCAAGGCCTTGGGCTTACACTTATCAAAATGGCAGTTAGTCCATTCCACCTTACATTATTTATGTTACATCAGTATGGCTCGCAACGTATTTGAAATCCCATTTTTCAATTTATTTTGCGTTACAATATTAAAATTGAATTTGACTTGGATGCTTAATTTTCATTCAAGTTATTTTGTTCATATCGCTTTTATTATTAAATTCTTGAAATTAAGTCAGAGGTTATCAGATGACAGGTGGACTCAATGTCTCTCCCTCTGTATTCATCTGAAAATATAAATCCCAGGACCATTTTAAAAATTTTCTGCTAGATAGTATGTATCATAAAATAGGGACACACTGTTGTCGATCACCCCTAGTCTGGCAACCCCAAATGAAAGTGAGTGTGAGACCTTAACGGCTTCAGCAGGGGGCACCTGAGGGCACGACAAATGACGAGCTCGGCACATCAAAAAACACTTGTCTTCTAAGCACGTATCGGTGATGATGACTAATAAGCGCGAAAACATCAGGAAATGATTTATATAATCTATTGGCCCAAGACATAACAAACCACACTATTCACACTTTAATTAATTGATAATCATTGTTTATCTCGTGTTACACTTGCATATTCAACATTGCTTCTGCTGTAAAAACAAACCAAAACAGAAGGAATAAAGAGAAGTCACGAGAAGCACATCCATCCCGCGGCCCCCAATCTCTCATATTTTTATCCTTGCCACGAGGGTGCTTGCAAGGGGACTTCTGAGAAATTTAACTCTTATGCAGCAGACATGAACAAAATATACGGATTCATGCGAGCATACAAGTCATGCCTAATTACAGATACTGCATCAAATTGCAAGGAGACATGTCTGTCTTCCATACGCTTGCTAATTTAGACCCTGCCAACTGGTGAAAGCGGTGGATACGAGATATAAATTGCAGGAATATCCTCCAATTTCCGCAAAACCTTTATCCCATCATTTTGCATCGATAGGGTTTCTCTTGGAGTTTTTCCTTCAACAGGATTTCTCGATCCAGAAAGTTCATGTGGCATCTTACTGTCCATTAACGCGATGCAGATGGAGAATGCTTGCAAGAGTGAGAGTGACGAGTCAAAAGCAACAGAGTATATTCCATGCGTTATGGGGATCAGACTGAAACCAGGCACGTGGTCTTGTCCGTTCACCTGCTGGGTAGCAATGCAAGTTAAAGACCATTAAGAAAAATTATTACAGGAATACGAGAGAGAATCACATTAACCTAAGCACAAAAAGTACCTGTAAGAATAGCTCAAATTGTTCTGCCAAATAAGCTTTGGAAGGCTTTGAATTCCTACAGGATTCATTTCCATTTTCAAGGATTTTCAGTTTGCAACCCAAGTCCCAACCACCACAGTCACATGATCCGCCTGATTTCCAGCGTTCGATCAGGGACGAAGGTCCCCCTCTACTTGGAAGACTATGAACGCCACTTGGAAGCACAACCGTTGCATGAACAAGTCGAGTATCATTGCGGCAACTCCCCTGATGCAAGTTGTTGAAGAAACTGGTAGCTTTGGGTATTTTGAGAACAATGGCAGCAAGCTCATCATTTGGCTGATAATCAAAGGCCTCGCCATTACCCTGCTTCAGTTCAACAGAAAACAACACGAACTCTTTCACAGTCGAGAAGTCCACGCAATTCTGACCTGTTAAATCATACGAATGAGAATTGGAAACCTTCATTTGAGCAACGACTTGGTGAATATAGTTTGGGCCTTTGCTTTTGCCTGCTTGATTCATCCAACTGCCATTCTTCTTCTTAACTTCCCTGAAGGAGAAAAATGTATAGATACAACAGCAGTCATCTTTCCCTGGGGTACTTAAAGTCTTCACAGTAGCTGCAAGAATATTGTTATCATTGTCAACTGCAAATGTGAAGAAGGGATGGCCATTTTTCACTGCAATTCTTAGAAGAGCTCGAACTGTTGAAGATACAAGCTTCTTTTCCCTAGAAGAATCACGTGTATTAATTGAGCTACAACTGACTCTACGGTCCCTGTTCAATTCTTTCCGTGGCTGCAGATGGGGATAGTCAATATCAGCGTTATTTATGAATCCCGACTCTTTCTGAGATAACTCCATTGAGAGACGGCCGTTTGCTTCCTTTGGTTTCAATAACGGATCCAATAACCTCCTCAAAGGGCTTGTCCTGCTTCTGACAGCATCAAGGGAGTTATTTCTGCCTGAAGCGCATGAGCTAGTAGAACCTCTCGCAGTTTCTGAACTAGATCCAACAGATGGCATGGAGTTCTTATGTGGTACATATAAACTCTCTTTGCAGCTAGAACCTTTGCTTGAATAACCCATACTGATGCCAAATCGGCCAAACGAGGAAGAGCTTAGTAACTTTTCAGGCTTACCTTTCTGGCCTAGTCCCTGAGGAGGTCCATTAGCAGATGAAACGGCAGCTCCAGTTTGTTTCCTTTCTTCACCTTTTCTAGATCTTGATGGACTTGTTCCCATTTTAGATGACAGGGGAGCTGAGGAGGTGGCCGTGGGAATTCTGATATTTCCTGCATCCAAGGAACTGGACCCTTCTGCCTTAGAATGCTTAGCCTCAATTTCGTCCGGTAGTAGGCATGAGTGTGAAATATCACAGTTGAAATCTTTAAGGAAAAGTTCTTTAGATTTTTCTGAAAAGCTTGTTCTTTTAGTAGTACCTGACTTTTGACCAAAAGATGTTCTCGTATCAGAAACTCCAAAATGACTATTTTGGGGAATCTTGTTTGGCAAAGGAAGATCAATAGGCTTGCTTTTCCCAGTTGCACCTTGCTCAACAGCTTTTAAATTTGCTTCTTGCAAAGTCTCCATTCTTTTCCCCAATTCACCGTCTTGAATGCCCTTTTCTAACTTTGCACACGATGCTCCCCCACATTTTTTGTCACTTGGCAAGATTTTATTCTCGGTATTAATGTTTGGATACAAATCCTTCTTGCTGCGTGCTTTCAGTCTCCTGACATGAAGGTTTTGGGAAAGATACTCATCTGCTCTGACTAATTTGCTCTGGGCATTACTGTTTCCAGGGCTGCCTCTAAGATTATGACAATTTCCAACATTTTCTCCAGAGGACTTGTCACCCAAGGAGTGGTCTTTCATCGTAGATGCCATAAAGTAAGATTGCAGAGATGGACGACTTAATCTTTGACAAGGAGACTGACTACGACCACCGCCAGAATGATCAGATAATCCCTCAGCTGGAACAGAAGAGGATGGATTACTGTCACTGGAGGATCTTAAAGTCCTCTTACCTTTCTGGGGTATATGTTTATGTCTATGTTGCCATTGTTCTAGACAGGACCAATCAAGGACCCCAACATTTAAAACTTTCTCATGAATATTTTTTCCCCTTTCCAAATAACCTGGCAAATTAGACATGTACTTAATAAGCTCATCGTCTTCACTTGCCCCACTGAAATTTGCTTGCTTTTGATGATGCCTGGAAAATTTTAAAGTGCAGTGCTCCACACTTTGGAGATCAGCATATGCCAAAACAGTTTTTTCTGGTTTTGGCTTGTCATACAGCTTTCTGCTCATGCTGATTGTTGGTTTCCTTGAGTCCCTTTTGAGATGTGACAACTAATCTATGGGCTGGATGGACATTCCAGGCTCCAGCTCTGAAACAGTCCACCACCTTGTTTTTGAAAGAGATTGCAATAAGGAAAATTCACCTATTTGTTTTTCAGCTGCAGGAAGGATTGAATTACATTTAGAAAATCAAACTAAATGAATGATTGCTTATGTAGAAAGAACAATCACAGTTCGGAAAACCTTTCAAAACTATATGAATTAGTATGTCCTATACCTCCCGCTAACCATCATGTCAGCCAAATGCAAAACTAACAATCCGCACAATAATTGCAGGAAAATACCAAAATTCTCACCCACTTTCAACTTTATTTGCATGGATAGGAGAATAAAAAGATCAAACCAGGTTACTTCAAGTGAGAAAAAGCCCAGATAATGCTAAGAATTCAACAGAAAGGACATCTTTCCGACAATAGCCCCTGCCCCAACTCCTGGCCTGATTGAATGGCAACCGTCAAGGTTCTAGCTAAAATGTTGTTATTTACGGCAATAAATTATCATTTGACTTTCATGGACTCCTAATTAGATGGCATGTGAATGAGATGACTTACATTTACACAGCTCAAGATTACAAAAGCCAGGGTTGCTGTACAACAGATTGAACAGTCCGAAATATTTAAGCCCAAGTGAATGAGATCTCATGATCAATAAAGGTTACCGTGTTAAAACTTTAAATCAAATGAGCGGAAACAAGGAGTGATGTCACCAAGGTCGGACGAGCAAATTGGCAGTGACACCCAACAGGAAGTGGTCCATGCAAAACTATTTTGAATGTGTAAAAGATAAGGCGCAATGAACCGTCTTGATCCGAATCAAATCTTTTGCAGCAACTAGCGAAAGAGACAAAAATAACCAGCTACTCAAAAGCAATAGGCCCCTCATCAATCATCATTCAAGTTACTGAACAAGAAGGCCTTATTTCGTTTCGAACTTGAAAAGAAACGATAAACTTAATTTACTGAGAGAAATAGGAAGCACTTTTAAGAGCAGTCTCCTTTCTTTCTTTCTTTTTTTCTTCGCGTTTACCATCTCCCAAGCACTAAGTGGAGCAGATGGGGGAAATATGCCATTCTAAAGAAAAGAGAATCCCACTCTCTCCCTCCAGCACCGATGCCAAATCAGGGTCAAACGTATAAGCACAAACAAGCGAAATTCTGTATAGTGTACGGCAGAAAGCTAAAACAGAGATTTTTTAAACTAAGAAAGAAAGAAAAAGAAAAGTAGAAAGAAAACAGAAAATGCATACCGGATGGCCGAAGAGAAAGGCGCGTTGGAAGCGAGAGAAGCAATAAATGAAGAAGGTCTGGCTTGGATACGAACCAAAACGAGTGTCGGTGCCCCGCCAGGAATAGAAAAAAGAGGATGGGTGACAAAGACCGAAGGGGAGGAAGATAATTAATGGCCTCGAAAACCAATGCCCTCAATTTCGTGCTTCAAGCTCCAAAGCCTGATAGAATATACAGGGGAAGAAGAGGACGCGAGCTGCAGACGAGCACAGACTACAAAGTACAAAGAGCGTATATGGAGAAGCCGCGTGAGTTTCTGGGGTGAAGTGGAAGTGAGGGCTGATTAGCTTCGAAACTAACCGTTCAAAGATGTGTGCGTGAGAGAGAGAGAGAGAGGAGAGCTGGGAGCCTATCGTTTTCACCAGACAACCAGGGAAAATGGGGGAAAATAAACAATACCAGTAGTAGAAATAGGATGGTGACATCATAATGCGGAGCCGGGAGCCCCACATTAAGCGTTATTTTATTGGCTTTCTTAGGTGATCCTCTATGGATCCTTACCGTAGTAGACTTTTGATTAAATGGTGGGCTCCTTCGATTTGATGACTCGATCAGTCCTCTTGTCGTTTTCTGCTTTCTGCCGTCCCTCCTTTTAATATTTACTATTTTTTCATTTAAAAATATTAAATATTTTGCAACGAAAAAAATGTTAAAAATTATTTTTTTCATTTTAAAATATAAAGTAGGTTTAATTAAATATTACCTCTCACTAAAATAATTATTTATTTTTAAATTAATTTTATTTTTTATATTTATTTTTATTAAATACCTTACAATAAATATAAAATTAATAGGAGTATATTAAAATAATAATAATTATTAAACCTTGAAAGATTAAAAATATTTTACATCTTTTAATATTCAACTTCTTAAAAAATGTCTTATATTTTAAATGAAGGGAGTATAAAACATTTTAATATTTGAAGATATAATCATTACATTTTTAAAAATTATTTTTAATAAATACTCTATTAAATTATTTTATACTTATTTTAAAATAAGATACTCTATTAAATAGATATATATATATATATATATATTAATTTAAAAATAAGTAATTGTTGAGAAATAAAATTTAGTTAAAAATATTTTAAATTTTTAAATAATTAAAATATCTCCGCTTAAAAAAGTAAATTTTTTAATAGATTTTAGGATAAAAATGTCTCAAGCACTAAAAATTTTTACTTTTTAATTAACATAATGTTATCTCAAAATTAAAAAATAATAATTTTATCCCTGTTAATCTTAGATGGTTAAATATTAGTAAAAATCACGCTTAGTTTCCCAAGACAAATATAACTATTACCAAGTCCCACTGAATGACAAAAATAATCTGCAGTCCCTTAATCTTTATATGTGAATAAGTTTTGCAAGTGAAAAGACCCGTTCATCCTGACGGAATTAAAAGGAAAGAACGAAAAAAAAGAGAGAGGCATTCGTGCATAATGAACAACAAGAAATAAAATAAAATAAAAAGCTAGGATGGTAGTGGGTTGGGGTTTGAATAGCAAGACTGAGGTCAGGAGAAAGAATTGAAGCAGGGGTGTATTCAATCCCTTTTCATGCATGCCGATTCCTAGTATTGGTTTTTGATGGCTCTAGGTGTGTTGGGATCTTTTGGTGACAACTTCAGTGGGTCTCTTGTGTTGTTTATCAGTAGCCATTTAAAGAACAATATCGGAGGAGCCTCCTCTGGATGAATACAAGCTTTTGTTCATAACTTTAATAAGATTTCTCTCTTTCCCTCTCTCGCTACCCTTACTCATGCCTACAAAATAAATCATAAGTTGGCTTTATTGATGATGCAAAGAACAGTGTCTCCTTTATATTTAATCTGTAGGTTATTTTTAGCATGCTTATTTGGTTAATTATTAGTTTAACCTGTTGCTACGATAATTCACTTTTCACTTCCTTTCATCATCTCAACATTTGCAGAAGAATACTGATTTATTTCTCTTGGCTTTTGGGGTATGAAGAGGGTTATTGTTAGACGAGAATAGGAGAGAGACAAGCAGCAAGAATGAGATCTGTGTATTTGAAAGAATTGCTAAGATAGTAAATCAAACATTTTTTGAGCCACTGAAGATTATAAAGCTTCAGGGGAGGCCAAGGACAAAAAGATGGGAATCTCATCTTTAAAATATATTGTGTAAATATCCATGTAATTTTTCTCCGTCGACGACCCTCATCGGTTCTTGTTAATGGTCGAGGCAGCGACGCGCGGTCTTCCTTGACGGCAATTCACAGCCTTGGCTGGGGTGGCTTTGGTGGCTGTGATTTTCTATGGTGACAGTAGGTGAAAGAATCTTTTTTTCGCCCAGTAAGATGCGCGCAGTCGAGAAAGTCATGGCTTTTGCTTCGGAACCGTTCAATTTCAAGTCATTTCCAGAACTCGTGTGTCACTCCAGAGAGGAAGTTCACTTCTCAATTCTTGTACCTTTGGAGAAGAAGAAGCGGCGATGATGGTACATTTGGGTGATTGGTTATGTGGTGGGACTCATGGTTTTGATTTCAGTGACTTATTTTGGGGGGTTTTCATCGATGAGGCTTTTGAAGGCCAACAGGATTAGGGCCATGGAAAGACAAGCCGGTGAAGATTTGGTTCTTCAGAGCAAGTGGGTTAGCATGAGTAAAATGCCCTCAGCATCTATGACTAGAACTCAACCAATTCTTGAGTGCAATTTTCCACAGTTCTTTACGCTTTCCTGTCATAAGGCTGATTTTTATCTTCTAGTAATGTAATTGCCATAACTTGGTTTGCCTTGCCATTCTGGGAAATCAAGAATATGCCCAGTATTTTGACCAAAATGAACAAATGATTAATTGCAAGAATGTGCTTGATTGTTACTTGGCACCGTAAACTTCGGATAATCAATAGCCTGGAACAGGGAGAAAATATGATCGTAAGGTGCCCAGAGTGCATCCAAGGGGAAAGGTCTGTCAGCATCCAATTGGACCCATGGCTTCGCTTTTCCACTCCAATGCAACAGATTCATAGGGCTAGGGTGCAGATCTCAAAAGAAAATATAACTTTTTGCAAGGATCCATTTGCTCGAGACGAAGAGGAAGAAGAAGTAGAGGAGTAGATCTGGAATGGCGGTGGTATTGGAGGGAGGGCGGTAGCGCACGTGGAGGAAAGATAGGAAGATGAAGAGCCACACTTTAACATTTAACAATCAAATGTTAGTAAAAATTAATTATGAGGTGAAATTATTTTATTTTTAAAATTTTAAAATAAAATTGTTTTGATTAAAAGATAAAAATATTTTTTATTTTTTTATAAAACTTTTAAGATATTTTAACACTTTTTAATTATTTTTTAGTCAAATTTTATTTTTTAATAAAATAATTAATTATTTTTAAATTAATATTATTTCTTTATATATATCCTTATTTAATATGATATTTTATTTTAAAATTAAAATAAAACAATTTATTTGGTATGAACTTTAAAAAAAAAACACATTAATTATGTTTTAAATATTAAAAATATTTTGTATTTTTAAATATTTAGCCTCTAAAAAAAAAACCACGACAACTGGGGGTTTTGGCACTTTAGCTTCATATTTTGATTCTGGACACCATGGGGCATATTTTGCAGGTGCAGCTTCATTCTTCTTCTCTTGCGTTGCATCACAGTAATAACTCGTGTTTAATCGATTTAACGTTTTAGCCGAAAATCGCATGATTGTAAATTTGTAAAGATTTATCAAAGAAGTGGGGCAAAAGTTGTATATCCTTTTGAGAGCGGGCTTGATCGTTGTTAAAGTGGTTGTTGCTTTAGAGCGCCATCTCAATTCTCAAAAAGCTGCTTAGAAAATAAGGAGATGAAAATTATACTATGATGAAGACTGGAAAGAGATGATACGACGGGCGTGCATTATAAGAGGAAGAAGAAATTGGCGATAAAAGCAGGACATCATTATTAGAACTGAGATCCAAAATCCCCGATGATGCTCAGCTATTTTCGCTTTATAAGAGATCATGCCAGCACGACAATCTTGCAACATCATACGTTGTTGATCCAACCAGATTATACACTCATTGTGATCCTGACTCTATCATAAAGCAACGTCGAGTTTCGGCTTTCCAATTTCCATACACGAATACGTTTAAGATGTGCACACTTCTACGAATGTTCCTCTGATTTTTTTTCCCCTTTCTTCAGGCATAATTCAGGATTGTTTTTATATTAGTTTTCAGAAAAATATATCCATATTATCCATCCTTAGGTGTGTGTGCGTGCGTGTGTCTATACATATATACGAGTGTGTGTTTCAGGACTCCTAGTGATATTCAGTATTCTAATTCCCATCATAAATTATATATACAATTTTTTGCTTTTATAATATATTTCTTTTTTTATGAGGGAATAGCAAAATGCCGAAGGTAACAATAACATGTAGGATTAAACCTACCGATGAGCTACCATTTTAACTGTATTTTGGACACTTATTATTGAATAAATTGAAGCATTATAGCATTGAAATTGAAAAAAAAAAATGTTTTATAGTCTCACTTGTGGCTCATCTATGGTGATTAGGGAAAAAAGAAGCTAAAATGAGAGAAGATCAAGAACAGTTGGAATAAAGTGGGCCAAGAATGTACAACAGGCCCAAACTCTACAGTTCGCGGATGAGCTTGAAAATGTCCCTACCAATTCGCGGATTAGACCCCTGGAAGAGCAAAGGAGTTTCTGTACCAAACCATCCACAGTTTTATTGTGAAGAAATCTCCACCGTCCGCGGCTGAAGGATCCTAAAGCAAGTTTGAACTCTCTGCGTGAAACCATTCGTGGCTAAGGATAACATGAGTCTTGAATGTCCGCGGTCAAGAGACGAAGTAAGTTTTCGCCCACCCGCGAATCAAGGTCACAAGTGAGATGAAGTGTTCATTTCACGGCAGTCCGCAGTACGAGGATGCAAAGGCCACTATCATCTGCAATTGAGGACAAAAACACGTGGTAGAACTATTTTAAAATGCTGAAGCTAAATTAGGGCAAATTAAATAAGAGGAGGCGTGATCTAGAGTAAGATTTTAGGGAATAGCTGAGGGAAACACTTAGGGTCTATTTGGTTCGAGGGAGGGGAGAGGAGGGGAGCTCCCCCCCAATTTGGAGGGGAGGCTTTGGAGGGGAGGGGAGGGAAAATTTTAAAAATTTCCCCTCCCCTCCTCCTAACCAAATGACGGGAGGGAAGAGGAGCCCCTCCCCTCCCCTCCCTCCCAACCAAACGGGGTTTTAAAAGGAGAGTTAGGATTCTTGAGGAGGCATCTAATCACGCATTGGAGCAAGAGATAGTGGGAGACTAAGCAAGAGCACTATCGTTCTAATCTAGGAGTTGCTTTTTTATTCCCTTTC